AGCCTGGGTGGAGGACGTTCGGGTCGAGGAGCTCCTGGACGTGCAGGTGGTGGAGCGGCTTTGCAGTCGGCTGAGGCGCCGCTGGTACTGGATCTGCCACCTGGCGATGTTCCCGGACACCTTCTCGGGCGACTAAGATCGGAGCTCGCGCGCGCCCTGGGGCCACGACGGGCTCGACGACGGGGCGCAGCGGGAGGTCGATCAGGACAACTACTGGGCGCAGGTGATCATCGCGGTGGCCAGGCTCGCCATTCGAGAAGGGCTGGGCTTCGTCATCGTGGGGCCCGAGGCGCTGAAGGACTTAGCGTGGGGGCCCTGGGACGGGCTCTGTCGAGCGGAGGGCGTCTTCTCTTTAGAGGTGGAGGGGCTGCTGGTGGTGGCCAACCTGGCGGCGCTCGTGGAGGGCGATGGGCTGTGGGACAAATTCACGGTGGTCTCGGGCGTCGCTCTCGGCTACGGGGACGACTTCGTGGCCAGCTACGCCGTGAAGCTCGAGCAGCTCGATTGCGCCTGGGAGGGGGGGGGGCTGCCGAAGGGGGGCCAGGTTCGACTTCGTCGGGGGCGACCGCGGGTCGCGCGAAGCCGAGGGCAAGTCGTGCCGATCGGCGCGGGCTGGATCGACGAGGCGAGGCGGTGCGAGCTCTTGCGAGGGCGCTGGGGGGCGGAGGAGCACAACAACGTGCTGGAGCTGAGGTGCGTGATGAGCGTGCTTCGGCATCTGGCGAGATCTTCGAGATGCTGGAACAAACGTGTCGCGATCATGACCGACTCGGTGGTCTCCATGGGGGCGCTGCAGAAAGGGCGATCGTCTGCGACGACGCTTTTGAGGCTCGCGCGGGTAGCCTGTCGCATCGCGCTGGCTCTGGGGATCAGGGGCTACTACAGGGTCCCCAGCCAGTGGAACATGGCGGACGGGCCGAGCAGGGGCGTCGGCATCGGGGCGGCGGACGACACCAAGGAGGCGCACAGGATGAGGACGACTCCCAAGGCAATGCGACCGCTCCTGAAGGTGCCGGGGCAGCGGCAGCGACGTCTGCGGTGAGCTCGGCGGCGACCTCGGCTACGAGGGGAGGGTGCCGACTGTCTCTCTGGGTCGTACTGGCGATGATGCTCCACATGGCGCATGGAGCGCGACGAGGAGGCTCCGCCCCCCCCCCCCCCCACTACAGAAGAGGGGGGCGAGGGCCTGGCAGCAGGCCAAGCTGGACCGCCCTTTCTGGAACAATCGGCAGGTGGCCCACGCGGCCGAGTCACGGCTTCATGCACATCTTTGAGGACCATCGCGGGAAGCTCCCGACCGCTCACCGAGCACTGAAGCCGTGGGAGAGGATGCAGTTCGGAGGAGAAGGTCACCCGATCCCGCTCCAGGCGATGGCTGTGATAGTGACGAGGATGCTGGAGACTGGCCATATCCTGGAGGCATGCGCGTGCATGATCCAGCTGGACGGGTGGCTACGTGAGCAGGACTCGGAGATGTTGCGAGTTAGGCACGTCAGCTTCACACCAGACGTCGGAGTGGGGCTGAGGCTAGGCGACCGCATGATAGGCCAGAAGACAAAGACGGGCGCCAACCAGGGAGCTGTGCTGGAATGGCCGATCTCTCGGATGCTGCTGAAGGTTTTGGTCCAGAACCGTGAACCCGACGACCAGGTCTTCCCGTTCACCCAAGCTGGCTTCAGAAAGGTTTGGCTGCAGACGCTGAAGGAGGTCGGCATGGAGAAGATGGGGCCGCCGCGCGGGATAAGACATGCGGCGGCAGCAAGGTTCGTGGCGTTGAACGGCGACCTGGAGGCTGTGAGGAGGCGAGTACGATGGGCCACGACGTCGGCGCTCCAGAGGTACACTAAGTGCCACGTCCTGGTCGAGAAGTTGAGCGAGCTGAGCGGTGCCCAGACCAAGCAGAGCAACAACTTCTGGCGCCGCCCGATGCAGGCCGTGCGCGACGCCATCGTGCGTGGACCTGGCGCGGGCACTCCGCTCGGCGTCGACATGATTAAGGCTCTGAGGAGCTGCCATGAGAAGGAGGTTCCTGTCCGCATGTTTGGAGCTTCGTAGTTCTCACCACTCCTGAAAACCGGTACTTAACAAGAGCCAAGTCTGAGTGTGAGTGGGTCCTTGGGGGGAGGCCGTGGGTTTTTTTGAAGAAGATGTTCAGCCTCGCTTCCTTCCCTCCCTTCTTGCCCGTGCTCGGCTGTTGTTGATTTCAGGCGTTTGGCCAGTGGCCCAGTTGGGTCGGCTGGGAGGGGTCGAAAATGCCTGTCCTCGGACCTTTTGTCAAAGAGGTTCGGGGCCCCTAACTAGGCTGCACGCTCAGGAAGCTAGCTTGAGGGCCTAGAGGCCTAGCGTTTTCTTGAAGAATATCGGGGCTGGAACAGCATCCGCTCGGCGCTTTTGGGCAAAAGTGTTGGCACGGACTCGTTTGGACAAATCTGGCAAGCCCTCTCGGGCTCAGCTCCGCCTGCCACCCTCAAGGGTTTTCAACCCCTCCCCAGACTGGCTCTGAGTAGACGGTAAAGTGCAAATCCGCCGCCCCCCTTGTGGGGCCACCAGGCTGTAGGCCCGTGGTTCGCAGTTTCCTGTACCAGTTGTAGTCTGTAGTTTCCAGTGTTACAGTTCTGCTTCTTGCTGGTTACTGTAACTAGTTGATTGACCGCGCGAGGGGAGGGAGGCCCAATGGGCGCGTTGTCTGTATTGCTGGGGGGGCTCGAAATCGACACCCCTCACGCAGATCCGCGGGGTCAGGGTCCAAAAACACATGGGATTTGCCACATTCCTGAAAGTCGGTGCCACCCCTCACGCAGATCCGCGGGGTCAGGGTCCAAAAACACAAGGGATTTGCAACATTTCTAAAATTCGACGCCACCCCTCACGCAGATCCGCGGGGTCAGGGTCTAAAAACACATGAGATGTGCCACATTTCTGAAATTCGGTGCCACCCCTCATGCAGATCCGCGGGGTCAGGGTCCAAAAACACATGAGATTTGTCACATTTCTGAAATTCGGTGCCACCCCTCACGCAGATCCGCGGGGTCAGGGTCCAAAAACACAAGGGATTTGCAACATTTCTAAAATTCGACGCCACCCCTCACGCAGATCCGCGGGTCAGGGTCCAAAAACACATGAGATTTGCCACATTCCTGAAAGTCGGTGCCACCCCTCACGCAGATCCGCGGGGTCAGGGTCCAAAAACACAAGGGATTTGCAACATTTCTAAAATTCGACGCCACCCCTTACGCAGACCCGCGGGGTGAGGGTCCAAAAACACTGGGGATTTGGCACATTTCTGAAATTCGGTGCCACCCCTCACGCACATCCATCGCAAGGCGTGGTAACCCAAACTGCGAGTACTCCCTCGGCCCTTTAATCCCAAGGTGTGGTAACCAAGCTCGTAAACCATACACGTCTTACCAATCGCCCTGTGTGGTAACCCCTCTTGTGATCAGTTGGTTTTGCCGATTGCGACTCGGCCTCGCATGAAGTTCCGATACTGCTGCACGACAGCGCCAAAGCCTCATGACTTAGCTCTTCCATGGCCCATTCTCCGAGAGAGGGGGCCGGCGGCAGGGGGCGAAGCCCTTACGGATATTGGTTATTGAACTTAGCTTTACATCCCCCATCGTAGTCTGTGTGCCGCTTTCCCCCCTGTCCTCTCCCGTTTCTAATTTGGCTCAAGTCGGCCCCGCCGCACCCTCCCTGGTGGGAGGGGTCGAAAATGCCTGTCCTCAGACCTTTTGTCAAAAAGGTTCGGGCCCCTATGCCCTGGGCTGCACGCTCAGGAAGCTAGCTTGGGCCTAGAGGCCTAGCGTTTTCTTGAAGAATATCGGGGTTGGAACCCCGTCCGCTCGGCGCTGTGGTGCAAAAAGTGTTGGCACGGACTCGTTTGGATATATCTGGCAAACCCTCTCGGGCTCAGCTCCGCCTGCCCCCCTCAATTGTTTTCAACCCCTCCCCAGACTGGCTCTGAGTAGATTGTAAAGTGTAAACGAAGGCTTCGAAGACGTCGACGGCTCGCTCGTTACCAGAATTCGGGACCCGGAGGCCAGATTTCGGTCGCGACCAGTTCTTTCATAACGTTACCGGAAATTTCGGACCGAATCGGGGAACTGAGCTTGGGGGTCAGGGGTGTGCGAAGAAACGTGCACACTTCTTGCACCTTTTGGACCGGCGGTGGCGGTTGAGGGCCCAATCAGGGCCACCTTCCTGCAATTCTCGCCGACAGCGGCCGCTGTTTGGCAGGCGGCCTTCTGTCTCAAATGGACAGCGTCCGCGGCGGCACGGACAGCAAGCCCTGTTCAAAATGATCAGAAAACGCTTTTGGGCATCTTGCCCAGTCGTTCCGTGCCCATTCTTTCCAAGGACCAACTTTTTATCCTGAATCATTCTTTGACGGTCACAGCGCCCGTGAAGGACCCCTGGAGGCCGAAAATGACAGAACACCTCCCGTCACGATTGTGTGGCCCTTGCTCCTCCTCCTCCTCCTCCTCCTCCTCTTTCTCCTCTCTTCCTGCCTTTGCTCTCCGCATGCCCATGCTGGCACACCCCTCGCATGTTGCATGGCCCCCATCGGAGCTCCACCGAATGCCCCAGTAGCAGCGCCAGCATGGCGGCACCGGCATCCCCCTCACACGCTTCGTGGCCACAGAGGGAGCTCCACCGAAGGCCCAAGTGGCTGCGCCCGCAAGGCGGCACCGCCCCGTTTTGGCACACCCCTCAAACGCTTCGTGGCCCCATCGGGAGGTCCACCCCCCTGCCCCCCTCCGCACAAGCTTGGAGTTTCTCGAAACACCTGGTGTGCCATGAAGTGCATTTCGACGAGACGCCCTCGCGACCACCTGCCCAAATGGCAACGCCCGCACGGCAGCATCGCCCCGGTTCGGCATTGTCCTCCAGACTTCGTGGCCCCATAGAGAGGTCCACTGACGGCCCCGGTACCAGTGCCCGCATGGCGGCACCACCCCATGACGCGAGGCGGGCTGGGTTACGGTAGCCCCCAAGCTGGCCTGCACGTCGTTTTCTGGGGCCTCCTCGCCGATGTAGTACTGCTCGGCCTCGCGACGCTCCGCGCCAGCCGCCCCCCCCGAGGAGGCGGTGGTGAGGGGCGGTGCCCGTTGCCCGCGGGGGGACCGCGGGCGCCGGGGTCGAGCTCGAGCCCGTCGCCGCCGCCGAGCGAAGCAGTGCTGGCACAGGCTAGGCGCAGCACTTGGCGGCGTGCCCACGGAGCCGCAGCACTGTCGAGAGCATCGAAAACCGTCCTCATACTGAGCACTCAGGCCAGCGAAGCTGTCAGTAAGCGCACCCAAGGAAGGACAGGGCTATTCAGTAAACGCCCGGGGTGGGCAATTTTTCAAGGGCCAATCATGGGGGTCGGGGTGGTTCTTCCTCCCTTGGCACTGAAGGAGGAGACGATTGCGTAAACATGCCCTTTTGCAGCTCCGAGCGGATGGCGCCCCAGGCGCCGCCACAAGCGCACTCCAAGCGCCACGGTGGGGTCCAGCGCCAATCCGAGAAATCCGCGGGGAACTACTCTGTGTTTCATGGGAGTGTTTGTTTCTCATTCCCCAAACAGTGCTTGCACTTAGGGGTTCGTACTTGTAGTAACCATATGGGGACCCATCGCGGCTTCTCCGGGCCGTGCCGCCCTTCGCCGCCCCGTAGCCGCCTCGTCGCCGCCGCCCGTCGCCTGGGCCCCAGTTCCGGCTTTTCCGGGCGGTGCCGCCCGTCGCCGCCCACACAGATTCTCCTTTCTAAAAAATGAGTTCTACCACCCTCCCCCCCGGACTTGAAGACCCCCGGGAACCGATGTAAAACATTTCGGATTATGACCCAATGTCCATCCTACCTGTGAATTCATGATATCTCAGCCAAGCTGGTATCGGTCCCCCCCACCATCCTCTGCAACAGATACTGTGCGCGCACACTCGTTTATCAAACATCATAAGTTTTTAAAGAAACCGATGCAACATATATGACGAAGTGCACACGCGCGCGTCGTCGCGCGCGCATGCCGAAATCCTTCAAAAAACCTTAGGTTTCAGAAGGATTTTCAATCGAGCTTCCAAAACACATACAAAAACAAAGGGTTTCAAAACACTGATTTTCTAAAAAGGTTTACGCGCGCGCTCTTGCGAAATCTGAGCCATAGGTTTTTCCAGATTTTCAAAATCCGCCGACCCCTTGGGGATCATCGGCGTGTGAGATGCTTCCCCCTCCCCAAACCCCTCCCCCGGGAGCCCGGTCCGGTCGATTTGGAGGGGGGGGGGGGGTCCGGCGCGAGCGGGGGGGGTCCGGGACGAGCGACTCACGGGGCTTTTCCGGGCCCAAGAGGGCCTCAAGACGGGCCAAGAAGCCCCCAAGAGGCCTCCAAGACGGCCCACGAAGGCTCCGAGACGCCAAACGACCGGTCCAAGACGCCCACGATGGCCCCAAGACGGGCCAAGAGGTCTCCAAGACGGCCTCCGAGGTCCCAAACAAGCCTCCCAAGAGGGCCCAAAGAGTCTAAAATTGTTGATTTTCCCGAGTGTTTTTCGACGTTTCTTGCTTTCCCGCCTTTCCGGCTTCCCGACGCTCCAAGACGGCCAAAGAGGCCCCAAAGATAGCCCCAAGATGGCCCAAGAGGTCCCCAAGACGGCCTCCAGACGGCCCAAGACGGCCCCATGACGGCCCAAGAGGTCCCCAAGACGGCCCAAGAGGGCCGATTTGGAGGGGGGGGGGGGGCCGGGACGAGCGCAGCACGGCCGGGACGAGCGGTTCCAGGGCTTTTCCGGGCCCAAGAGGGCCTCAAGACGGGCCAAGAAGCCCCCAAGAGGCCTCCAAGACGGCCCACGAAGGCTCCGAGACGCCAAACGACCGCTCCAAGACGCCCACGATGGCCCCAAGACGGGCCAAGAGGTCTCCAAGACGGCCCCCGAGGTCCCAAACAAGCCTCCCAAGAGGGCCCAAAGAGTCTAAAATTGTTGATTTTCCAAAGTGTTTTTCGACGTTTTTTGCTTCTCCGCCTTTCCGGCTTTCCGACGCTCCAAGACGGGCAAAAAGGCTCCAAAGATAGCCCCAAAATGGCCCAAGAGGCCCCCAAGACGGCCTCCAGACGGCCCAAGACGGCCCCAAGACGGCCCAAGAGGTCCCCAAGACGGCCCAAGAGGGCCGACTTGGAGGGGGGGAGGGAGCCGGGACGAGCGCAGCACGGCCGGGACGAGCGGTTCCAGAGCTTTTCCGGGTCGAAGAGGGCCTCAAGACGGGCCAAGAAGCACCCAAGAGGCCTCCAAGACGGCCCACGAAGGCTTCGAGACGCCAAACGACCCCTCCAAGACGCCCAAGATGGCCCCAAGACGGGCCAAGAGGTCTCCAAGACGGCCCCCGAGGTCCCAAACAAGCCTCCCAAGAGCGCCCCAAGAGTCTAAAATTGTTGATTTTCCATAGTGTTTTTCGATGCTTTTTGTTTTTCCGCCTTTCCGGCTTCCCGACGCTCAATGGCCCAAGAGGCCCCCAAGACGGCCTCCAGACGGCCCAAGACGGCCCCAAGACGGCCCAAGAGGTCCCCAAGACGGCCCAAGAGGGCCGACTTGGAGGGGGGGAGGGAGCCGGGACGAGCGCAGCACGGCCGGGACGAGCGGTTCCAGAGCTTTTCCGGGTCGAAGAGGGCCTCAAGACGGGCCAAGAAGCACCCAAGAGGCCTCCAAGACGGCCCACGAAGGCTTCGAGACGCCAAACGACCCCTCCAAGACGCCCAAGATGGCCCCAAGACGGGCCAAGAGGTCTCCAAGACGGCCCCACGCAGGCGGCCAATCCCAGAGAGGAAGGAGAAGCTCAATGTCATTTCCTATTCCTCCGCCTCCTCCTCGTCCCCCCTTCTCCTCCCCTTCCTCCTCTTCCTCCTTCTCCTGCTCCGTCTCCTTCGCCCCGCTCTTACGCTCGCAGCGTCACTCGTCCTCCTCCTCCTCCTCATCCTCCTCCTCCCACTCCTCCGAATACCCCAGCATGCCCAATAACGGATCAGCCCCAGTTTCGAAATCCACAACTTACGTCCAGCATCCGCCGACCCCGCAGAAATCGAGGTGCCGTGGCGCTTCCATCTAGTGAACATGCCTCCAATTTGGCACACCCCGCACGCGGCAACTTGAATGAAAGGCCCCAAAACCCGAGTATACGCGCGGTTCCCCGCGAACATTGGGCACGTCCCTCATAGATTTCGTGGCTCCACGGCGCGCTCCAACCATAGCCCCAGTACCCGCGGTCCCGTAAACTTCCAACCCCAAGCGCACACACACGTCGATCGTGTCGTGGCTCCAGAATACGTCCACCGTGGGGCCCAGTGGGAAGATTCGCATGCAAGTATACCCCATGCCGGCACACCCTTTGCACGCGCCGTGGCCTCGCACATGGCCAAGTTGACCCATAATGACTCCTGGACAGTCCCCCAAAAAAACTCCCGACCGCTACCGAAACGGCTCGAAGACATTCCCGAGCCCAACCTGGCTCCATTATGCCTCTCAGATGGCCCCAGATGAGACCACGACCGCCCGCGGTGTCGCCGTCCGCTCGGACACCCCCGCGGAACTGCCCGAGACCCTCTGGCAGTGGCGGCGAACAGACACCAAACAAATATCACTCGCCTTTTCACCCCTTCGCAGCTTCTACTGCCCCCCGATTGGCATAAACAAGGGGTCGGCGGTGTGGCGTAAGCCTAAGAATAAAACCAAACGGGCTTCGCGCGCGCATGTCGAAATCTTTCGAACGCCCTTGCGCGCGTGCCGTCGCGAGAATCCTCTGCACAAAAAAATGCGACGAAGTGCACACGCGCGCGTCCTCGCGCGCGCATGCCGACATCCTTCAAAAACCTTCGGTTTCGGAAGGATTTCAAAATCGAGTGTCCAAAAAACATACAAAAACACCCGGTTTCGCAACCCGGATTTTCAACAAAAGCGTGCGCGCGCTCTTGCGTCGTCGTCGTCGTCGTCGCAGTCCTCCCTTCTCCCTCGCCGTCGTCGTCGTCGTCGTCGTCGTCTGTCTTTCCTCGTCGTCGTCGTCTTGGCGTCGTCGTCGTTTCCGTCGTCGTTGTCGCCGTGGTCGTCCTTCCTCCCTCGTCGTCTTCGTCGGCGTTTCGTCGTTGTCCCTCCTATTTCGCCGCCGTCGTCGTCGACGTCGTCGTCGTCGTCTTCCCTCATCTCTCGTCGTTGTCGTCGTCGTTGTCGTCGTCGTTGTCGCCATCCTCCCTCCTTCTTCGTCGTTCGCGTCGTCGCCATCCTCCCTCCTCCCTCGTCGTTGTCGTCGTTGTCGCCTTCGTCGTCCTCCCTCCTCCCTCGTCGTCGTCGTCTTCGTTGGCGACGTCGTCGTCGTCGTCTTCGTCTACGTCGTCGTCGTCAGCGTCGTCGTCGTCGTCGTCGTCGGCGTCGTCGTCGTCGTTGCCATCGTCGTCGTCGTCATCGGCGTCGTTGTCGTCTTCGTCGTCGTCGTCGTCGTCAGTGTCGTCGTCGCCGTCGTCGTTGTCGTCGCTGCCGTCGTCGTCGAAGTCGTTAGAGACGTCGTCGGTGTCGTCGTAGTCGTTGTCGGCGGCGTCGTCGTCGTCGTCGTTGTCGTCGTCTGCGTCGGTGTCGTTGCCAAAGGCAATTTGGTACCTACCGTCACGGTCTTAAGAGATCTTGCGACCAAGTTGCGGGCGGGAGGGTGGGATGTTCGCACGAGCAGTGGAGAGGACAGCTTCAAGTTGAGCAAGTGATTGATTGCACCACATATTTTGCACCACGTAGACTGCACCACGTAGCTCACCTACACATATTCTCCTCTTTTCTATTTACAAAAATAGGTTCTACCACCCTTCCACTCCCGGACTTAACGATCCACCTTTTCGTATTGCAATGAGCAAATGATATTGACCCATCGTCCATCCGAAATATGAATTTACATTATCCCGAGGGAACCGGTATCGCCCCCCCCCCGCCACCCCCTGCAAAAAATGCTATGCGCGCGCACTCGTTTAGTTTTCAAGATCCCCTTGCAAAAAACTATGAAGTGCACACGCGCGCGTCGTCGCGCGCGCATGCCGAAATCCTTC